AACACTACAATTCCTCAAGTAACACTAGGTTGTACAAAAAGCATCTTTTTCTCCCTCTCAAGTGGGGCCTCCAAAAGCATCTCTGTACAGTTAATCCCCAATTTTGAAGCTACAAACGTACAATTGATTTTCTCCCCTCTGACAGACCCTGTGCCATCCACTCTCTTGCAACAGCTCTGGGTGAAAGAGCAGATCAGCACAGAGATGCTGCTGCTTGTGGCATGGGAAACGCAGCTTGGAAACATCCACTCTAGAGAACTTCACGTCATTGGATCAAACACTGTCCTTTTTCTTCCTCACGGAGCTTTGCTATGACTCAAGCAGCAGAGTGATTTTAACTGTTAGCAAGCTCATCACTGTGCTTAAGTAAAAGCAGATTCTTTCCATTGTACCCTGTACTTAATGAACACAATTGCACAGTAGAGGTTAATATTTTAACAGTCCCCACCCCAAATACAAAGTCTTTGGTGCAGCCAATGTGCAAATAAACTTCAAAACTGACTACTAAACTAGGTGGAAATACTTAAAAGTAAAGCCCTTCAAGGCAGAAAATATTTTGTTGGTGTTAAGCAATTACTCCGTGCAAAGGAAGATAGGGCCCTGACCCAGAATGTGAAGTTCGAATTAGTATTATGCACCTCGTTAAAGCAGGCACCAATTAATCACTTGAATCCAAGGCGCTGGCAGATAAGTGGGCACATCTTGGGAACACAGGACTTCCCTCTCAACCAGAATCAAACACAAGCCTGTTATCCTCAGGTGGTGGAAGGCAAACTACAATTATTGTCAGCCCAGTAACTGCAGCGAGCCCTTGTATTTGACTTTATATGCCAAATATGCTGTACAGAGAAGAGTGACTTAGAGATTCTTAAAATGAATTTTTTTTAAGGCATCCACTTAAAAATACGTACAATGGAACAGAAAGCAAAGTGCTCTGGCCTTGGGTTTCCTACGTGGAGGCAAGGTGAAGTAGCAGAACGGAGAAACATAACAAGTTAAATCACCATCCAGGCCTGTATGCAAGTGCCAAACCTCTTCAAAACACAAGGTACTCACAAACACCATTTATTCCAATAGGACATACACTGATAAATAAAATGACTCACTATGAATGAATCAGATGGAGTGGGAACAAAGTAGGAGCTCTTAATAAACTCAAAGCATACTGGGCAATAACTAAACCACTTGCAAATACTCAGAGCACTAGGTCAAGAAAAATTTTATGCCAGCTCACACAGAAATATTTTTTGTATCTTAATGCTTACAACCAAATAGTTATTTTATGTCATATCACTGAGGGAGATGAGAGTAGGAGCTGTGAAGAGAGGATGTCATTAGGAAAGGTAAGATCATGATATTGTTTTCTTTGGGAAAAAAGTGGTCAGTATTATATTGCAGTTGTAGGAACAACTACAGCTAAGCAGTAGCTATGTGCTCATCTTGAAACTGCCTTCTGTTCAAACAGTACTTATTGCATTTTTTTTTTTTTTGGATTAGATTGGAAATAGATGGCTAGGAAATTATCATAGAATGGTTTGGTTTGGAAGGGATCTTGAGATCATCTAGTTCCAACCCCCCTGCCATGGGCAGGGACACCTTCCACTAGACCAAGTTGCTCAAAGCCTCATCCAGCCTGGCCTTGAAGACATCCAGGGATGGGGCATCCACAGCTTCTCTGGGCAACCTGTTCCAGTGCCTCACCACCCTCTCTGGGAAGAACTTCTTCCTGATATCCAATCTAAATCTACTCTCAAAACAGCCATCTGTAAATCCATTTATAAAACCTGATTGCCGGTTAAGAAGTACAATTTCAGCAGATGATTTTTTAAAAAAATAGGCATTGCAAAAGTTGGAATAGGTCATTCCATCTCGCTTAAACCATTTTGATTATTTGTTAACTAAGGAAAGCGAATATCAAATTAAATATGTACAAAAGCTAATATTAGCATTGTTCAGTACATAGAGGCAGGATCACATTAAGAGAAACCTGAAAGAGGAAGAGAATAAACTGTTCCCATGGTCCACTGTAGATAGAACAAATCATAATGGGCTTAAATTGTAGTAATGTAGAGTCAGGTAAGATATTAGAAAAATTCTTTTTAATGGTATATCTAGGGAGGCATGAGAAGGGATAGTGCAGGGAAGTCATGGAACTACTCTCCCTGGAAAATATTAACCCAATTCTTGCCAATGTTTATCTACAGCTGAACTGCTCTGGGACAGAGTGTAACTATCTCTTCAAGCCCTTTCCAGCCCTATTTTTCTGCTGCTTTTAATAAGGCTCTTGTTAGTGATTTTAATCTCACAGAAACAGCCTCTGCCACTTGGAGATGCTGCTCTCAAGCTGTTCCTGTCACATGTTCATGCACATTGCCCTGTAGCATGGAAGTTGATCTCTGGTCAATCTCACGCAGGAGTCAAGCAGCATCATCACCCATCTTACATTGAAGACAGCACACTGCTCTGTCTACACAGCCTCTGCTCTTGGCTACCGCGCTGCGTTGTAAAGGGTATGCCGATTCCTGCCCTAGAGAAATCAGGATGGAAACGAAGACATGGAACAGATTCCTCCTCTAAGTTAACTGCTCTCTCTCTCCCCCCCCACCCCCTTACATGTATGAGAGTTTAAAAGAAACCAAGAAGAAACAGAAGAACAGCACATAAAGAACAGACACTGGATAAAGGTGGGTGGGGTTCGAGACCATCAGAATAGAACGATCCCACTTGGGGCAGGGACTTGTGAACTAGTGTTACCTTGGAAAAGAGGAGGTAAGCACAAGGGAGGGAGCTGGAAATTCAGATTATACATTTAGTTTATGTAGTTTACATAGCAAAACATTGGTTCCAAGAATTTTTTATTTAAACATTTCCTTTGCTGCAGTACTTGTATTAACAAGCCAACTGGATCTCCTACCTTGAATATCATCACTGCCTTCAGGTTTTCTTCAGGTGAGAGGGAAAGAAAGTATTTAATCAGAAAAGATATTCTTCTCCTATGCATTCTCATATGCACACTTCTACTAGAGACAAGGTCCTTCAGCTGCTTGCTGAAGTCAGCAATGCTTGTCAAACACAGCGCGCCCTGGAGCAAATTCTGCCAAGAGAAATGGCACTCACCCGCGTCGAAGTAGAAGACGCAGAAGGGAAACATCACCAGCTAGATGGGTTAGGGATGCCTCTGCGCTGAGAGGCTGGGATCAGCAGGATGTCCCCAGGCAGCAAGCAGTAAGGTCTAGAACATCTTAGCTCTGTAGCTGTATGAAGACAGCACCATGTTCATACTAAACCCCAAGCAGCTGGAGCAGCTGTGTGAAGTGCAGGCTTAAATTAATACTAGAGACATCATTAAGTGAGTAATTAAGAATCTGATTCTCTCCCCTCCCTATGACTTCACCTGCTTATAATAGAATAGCTCCTGAACCATCTCCCCTGTGGGGAATGTCTGCTTTATCATTAATTCTGTCATGTGTATTGTACAGGTAAAAATACTGCTGAAAATATTGTCTTGCTACATCTGTGCAATAAACCGAAAGGAACTGAAAAGTGACAAACGTATTATGACAACTAAAAGTTAGTCAGAATAAAGACAAAGACACTTTTCTGTCATTTGCCCATGATGTGCAGCACAGGCTGCATCATGTCCTGAAAGCCCTGACAAAGCCTTGAAATTCCAGAACAGAAAGCCTCCCTCCGACCCTGCCTCACCCCCCCCCTTGAATTATTAGGGCTTATTCCCAAGTTCTTTTTAAATAAATGGGATAGCGTAAGATCTTAACTTGTGCTATCAACTAACTTGTGGACAATCTTCCCGGTTTTGTAGTAATGTTAGGATTTAGCTCGTAGAATTGTCAATTACAAACTTCAGTATCTGCTCTCAGAGCACGGCCTAAGCCCAAAATCCCAAAGGCTAAATGTTTCAAGCCACTTAAAGTAAGCATGGGAGAAGCAGGTAAAATCTAACAAAAAGTTGTAAGTTTCTTCTTATTTTTCCTTTGTGATATAGGCTACATGTTCATTTTAACATCCAAAATTCATCTGCAAGTGATCAAAGTCACGGTTGAAACACAAGAACAAAGGATTTACCTAGTGAGTCATCAAAGTGCTTTATTTTATAAAGCCTTGCTCGAGTTCGGAGTGTAATCTAAGCACTAACATACACAATAATGAGTCTTCCTTGCCCTGTCCAAATAAACAGTTTATCAACAAGAATGAGTGACAAAACTGCTACACAGACGAAAAGAATGCTTTGCTGTAAAGGTCTAAAATGGTCTAAAAATGTACACTCGTTGGCCGCAATTAAATTCAATTTACTCTGAGTATGTGTACCTCATTTTTACTTCAGGGTCGCCCTGTAGCCTCCTACTTTAAGAAGCCACAGCATGCTTCAGAAAATGAAACCCGGGTGAGAATGTATACAGCTGGGGTACATGGGGAGAGGGCAGAAAAAAATACCAAGCCACAGTACCAACTTACTTAAATACATACGATACAAAAGTATACACATACATTACAGTGCTGCGGACATCACTAAGTCAAATGTAACAAAAAATCCTGTAGGAAAGGTCGGAGGAAGGAGGGAAAAAAAGGTATTAGTACACAGCAAGAGGGATAGTATTGCCTTTGGCCGCTGAAGAGAGCGTGATGGGTTGCTATCGCACAGGCTCCTCTGAAGTAAAGCACGACATAGGCTGCGCACGGCTGCAGGCTGAACAGCACTGACGTCAGCGACGGAGAAGGCATGCTGGCACTCCTGATTTGTGACTAACGATGACCGGGAGGGTTTGACTTCTCTTACGTCGCCTACAAAACCTAACAATTTCAATAAAGAAATTTTAAAGGCACAGCTTTAGCACAGTGTATAAATAGATAAACTTTTAAGCACGTGTAAATTTGTCTCTTTCAAGCCATGGAGTCTTTCAGGGAAAAATACAGAAGAGAAGAAATACAATGTTGTTGTTTAAAAATTTTAAACAAGCATGATCAGCACAGTTTTAGGCAATGTACTATACAATCAAACTTGACTAAATGGTAGGACAGGTCATTTGGATGCTAAAAGACGACCTTGGGAAAAATCCCTCTGAAATATCCTTTCTCATTTTATTGTAAAAGAGTCCGTCGCGGAGGTGAGCGAGACATTCACTTTAGTACACTACTGCACATTACACCTTGGAAGATGACAAACATTACTTCATTTGTACTGCAAAATAACTTTACATGTAAACTCAAAAGTCATATATTGTACACGGCTCTGAAATTCAGAAATATCCCTGCTTTCCTAGTAATGTAAACAGTAAAATCCAGGGTTCATTTTTCGAGGGATAATCTATAATAAAATACCGCTGTTTCAACAGTACAACATAAGCATTTAAACTTCAAATTCCCAGTAAATTACAAGGGAATGGAATTTCTATCAGTGTGCACATCTTTCACGCTGGGTGAAAGACGCAACTACTATTGCCCAAAACTATGCGCTTCTTCAGGTAAGGTTTTTTCCCCGCTTGTAACATTATTAGTTTCTATATTGCAAGAATATAAAACAAATTAAAACTTCAGGTAACAAAGTGAAATAAGCAAAGTTTTCCCTTAACATAAGTTTACTGTTGCAAAAATGTACACACAGCATGAATGACGTTAGCTCTTCGTAAGATGAGAGACGCCGGCTCTCAGACGTCTGAGAGGCTGAACTTCCTGATGCAATGTGCTGAAGACAAAAACGGGAGAGGGAGAAACAAACCAGGGAAAAATCCAACTGCTAGGAACTGAATGGGAAAAGCCTCTGGCACCGAGGGCTGTTGCAGCTGCTTTTTTAAGGAGCGCCAGTGTGCAGGGTGTAAATGTAACATTCGCAGTAAGGTTATCATCATCGTCGTCAGCATCATCATGAAGAACACTGTCACGTATCTTTTTAGTTCAAAAAATAAACTGATCCACAGTTTACAATTTGATATCACTGTTGTAGGTTTAACATGCATTTACTCCTCCCCACCCCCACCCCACACCTCTTCGCTCATTTATTCCATTTCAGCTGGCAGCATCAGAGTATTCCTGTCACAGTGCACTCTGAGTAAGCTGTTCTAGTCATTTAATTTATTTTAATTTTTTTTTTTGCACACACAGAAGAGTCAGAAATAGCTAGAACTATGCTGGGAATATCAGGCAGCTGTTAAAGCGAGTACTCCACCCCACTTCAGTCATCTTTGCCAGCAGATGTAAACAAAGGGGTTGCTTTCTGCAAGATGAGCGCTTCTCTGAGTTCCTTTTTTCCCCTACACTTGTAGCCACTGCTGCTGTCCCCAGGTCTTGTGTCTGTCCTGTGTAACATGATAGGTTACGTCAAGATGTTGGCAATAAAGTCCAAGAAGCGCTTTGAATACTGTTCAGGATTAACAGTTGAAATTTCTGCACCAGCCTACAGAGAAAATTGAGAGGAGAGAAGAAAGAAGGAAGAACAAGTGTTTTATTTGATGCTCTGGCTTACTTTACTCAATGAATTTCATTTGCATTCTCAGACCAGGACACTAGAAACACAGATTGTAATGTCCCTCAAGCACAATCTTACTGACGCCTCGTTAGGCTTCCCATGACCACAGTGATACTTGGTACTCAGCAACGTAACTGTTGGACTCCCTTCTTCCATTTCTGAAGCATCTTCTCTTCACTTTCCTTACTTCTCTTTACTTTCCCTGTACTTCAGTCTCCTGTATAATTTCTGCTACACACGTAACCATGCAACAGATTCTGGTCTGTTGAGCAGCAGTGCCTTCACGTAGAGCAAACTGAATTATCATACTCGGATCTGGTGCGTCAAAGCTTGCGTACTGTATATCGCTATCCGAAAGCTAAATAACCTGCTTTAGAATATATGGTGACAGTCAGTAACATTTTTTCCACACATACACTTTTAAATCTGGACTCACTGAATAAGCTGTACAATTGCTAGTTCAGCGCAGTCATGATTTCATTCATATTTTTATTTGAGGTTTTCAGAGCATTAGCCCCATTTTTGTTTATGTTTTCCCTGTTTTACGAAAGAGGAAAATTGCGTGCATGCAATTAATGAACAAACTTCAGTGTCAGTTGGCTCAGGATGGAGAAAGCGAAATAAAATGGTTCTATAAAAGTAATATTCTGTAATACGTTCTAATCACAGTCAGCTTTAATAATCATAGTTATTTACAACATACTTCCAACCTTTATTTAAGCCAGAAGTGTGAGTTTTTAAGATCTGCAACATTCAAAGTTCATTAATAATTGCCAGATAATGGCTGCATATGGTCTGCATCAACTTTCAGCTGCTCTGAGAGCAGAGAGAGTAATGACAGCACTGTTTGAGAGAGACAAAAAATACCTTCTACGGGCCTGTGCAGGGCTTATTGCTGAGCATTCCACATCACTCCGTACTGTAAACTACAAAGCCCTGCCCCCTTTGCTTAAAACCCCCCACAGTGCCCTGATCCTTTGGGTACTTGGAGAGAGGAGGGATTTTAGCCTCATGAACGATTATGTTCTTTTAAAAAAGTTTGAGATTTGAACCTTAAACCACCATAGGAGTGATAATGGTAGATATAAATCGTAATTCTGGAAGACTGAGCTGCTTCACCATGGGTCATTGGTGTTTGCTGCTAAGCAGTAGTTTCAGTCAAAATAAAGAAATTCATGGCAGTCAAACAGAGGCCTTCACTGAGTGGTTTCCAAATATTTAATATGTACATTTTAGGATTAATTTTGCAGATTGTACTTTTTTTTTTTTTTTAAGAAGTCTTGTAAAGCGAGCCACATCATATGCTGAAGAATTAACTTTCAACAGGCTGTAACAGATAATGAAACCACCACTAGAGCCCTGCACCTGAAATAAGACTCAAAAGAGCATTCACAGCACTGTACACCAATACAAGTGCCTGGTGAACAGTTTTGTTTTCAAGAACAAGGTGCATCTCACTGGAGTTGTTTATGGTTAAGCAAGGTGTGTGTACAGCTCGACAGGGAGTTCCACTCTCAGTACGTGATGTGTAGCAGTTACTCTGTACTCATGTATTACATATTAAACTAGAAAAAAACCTGAAAAACATCTGATCTATTTCCCTAGATAGCTTGAACTGTGCTGTATCAGTGCACTAAACAACAAAAATGCAGGAGTATAAATGGAATCAGAGTTACAAACCGACCCAGGTACTTACCCCATGCTTTACTGTTTTTGCAGCATGGGCAGCTTTCTTTTTTGCATCATAATGAGTAAGAATGTCAATAATAGCCATAAAGTATACTTCCTTCCTAGGTGCATCTGCAAATAGCAAATACATGGCAGTAAGAATGACTTCTGAGACATCTCAATCGCAAGTCCTCCTTCTAACAAATATCTTCTAACAGATCTGTAAAGACCACAGGCTCAAACCGTTCTCAACTGAGCGTTTAACTGCACTCATACATAATGCAAAATTCCCTAAACGAGTGCAAAATAAAACACCAGCATACAGAAACAGGAATTATTGCTCACTTCAAGTAATGTGGATTTCATGTTCCTTTGTGGCAAAACCATGATCTTTTATATGAAAGGTAATGCGTCTGTGTCAACAAAAAAGATCTTGTTTTCTTTATGAATAACAATATGTATTTATCCATGTAAATGCTTATGGAAAAAAACAAGAACGAACTTTCCTGCCTTGAACAGTGACAGGTGGTTTTACACACTAACATCAAACCCAGTTTCAGGCTTCTTACACGCTTATAATGACTTTCTTAGCTGCAACACAGAAATCGGCTATGAGTGCACAAATTTTCAAAAAAGCAACCCAAAAACTGAAACATAACCTGGAATGCTGCTTTTCTTGTTCTTTCTATAATGTTTTTAGTAGTGTTGTGTTATCTGAATTACAGATACTAGATTTCCTGGAAGGGCTGAAAAAACCCATGAATTAACAGAACTGCTGTATCTGAATAGCTAAGCCAGTGCACAGTTTGACTGTGTAGTACGTGAATTATTCGACTGTATCCCCACACATCACAATATATAAGAAATAAATTTGTAACCATGTTGAGCATTATAGGTGCCTTCTGCTTTCTGCTGCACCAAGAGCAACTCATTTCCTCTTCTACAGAGTGAATTTGTATTTTGCAGTATAACTTTGCCTTTATGTGGTTGCAAAGACTTTAGGATTCTGGTGTAAGAATCAAAACATCTTAACATAAAAATATTACTGCTTACTTTCATGGGATTTTATTCCATAAACATCAATAGCTGGATCAAATTCCCCTGGAGCCAAGGGCAGTGAGCTGTTCAGCGTGTTTCCTGGACTGTCTGGAGGGGTTCCAATGGGGTGGGTCCCATCACTTTCACCTTCCTCTTCTCCATCATTCTCTTCACACTCTACTTCTTCCTGTTCAGCTCTTTCAACATCATGAATTCCAACCAGCAAGCTGTAGTCCATGAGTTTTAACTGAGCAAGGAACTAGAAAGTGATAATAAGCAACTTATCAGTATCACTGAAAAATGTAAGCTCCACTTACAAACAGAAGAAGTTACACAAAGACATCGTCAATTGAGAAAAACAGGCACTTCTAAGAGGGAGCAAAAGGGCGGATTAAGTGCTGAAGCTAGCAGAGAGATACTTGAATACATTAAGATGTAGTAACAGCACACAGGTCACTTGCAACGTAGAAAAAGCTGTAGCCCACTCTTTCTTGTAGTGAAAAATGTGCAAGCCAATGAGTGTCACTCCCATCTCGTGTTTCTGTTAGGCTTATCTTGGCACCGTTCAACATCCAGACCTGCCTCTGTGCTGTCAGGTGTGTGATGCCACGACCTGGTGCTGAATCCACCCCCCCTTTAAGCCTTATTAAAGAATCATGTAAAAGTATTTACGTATTCTTGCCATGGAAAGTAGTGAAGTTCTACATCATGAAGACATGAAGTGATGATACATTCTTTTCACAGTGACAGACTCATGATTTAAGCCATGTAAGCAAAACGTGGATGTGAATGAAAGTGTGGTTTTGAATGAAGACTGAGGATGGGAATCTGAAAATTTTAAAAATAATGGACTTGATGTATAGACAAAGCATTATTGCAGTTAAGGGGAACAGGATAAGGGAGAAAACTCGGACAGGAAGATAGAAATAAGGAAGGTATAAAAGCAAGAAGATGGGATAAATAGTTCAAGGGGTGAGGGGCAGCAGGGCAGAGCTGTGCTGCAGCCTAAAAGCAATACTGTGATTTTGAACTTGTGGAACTCCTTATGATATGCATAGAAGAAAACACAAGTTGTTTTAGTTTCTAGAAACTCTAAATGGCTATAAACAAGAAATCAGAGCAGACCAGAGACAGGATATAAGCCAGACTTGGGAATAGAGACAGGGATGAGAGAGATGAGTACAAAATACTAGGTAATAACAAACTACACTTTGTCAAACTCCTGATTCTGAGAAGAGAGGTGTTAGAGGTAACAAGTGACTGTAAATTCAGGCACTAGAAGAAAGATTGTGAGGTTGAGAAGAGGTTTTAGTAAGAGAGAAGTCATCGGTTTCTAACCATTTCAATATAATAAAGCAAAAGACTCTTTACAAGTCTAAAAGACTGAAGAGATGATGCAGAACGATATACGAGAACCCCATGGCCAAAGAAGATCATAGAATCATAGAA